TCTCTCTGTGTGTGTGTGTGTGTGTGTGTGTGTGTGTGTGTGTATTACACTACCTTCTTTTGGGAGACAGGACTTCCACTGACCTGAAAAATCACCACTGGTCAGTGAACTCCAGTGACCCTCTGCCTCCCCATCTTGGGATTACACACTCTTAGCATCACACTTGATTGTGTACATGGGTGCTGAGATTGAACTTAGGTCCTCATGTTCACCAACTGGTACTGTTTGTCTGCTGAACCTTCTTTGGTGGTCTTGGTAGCTACTGGATAGAAGTACATGTGTCCTCTTAAATCCAAAGTTTCTGTTGGTATTTTCATTAGTCTGACTGGACTTAGAAGCAACTGGTCCAGAGACAGAGTTTTACCACACACCTCAACCTCCAGGAAGAGATCCCAGGTCAAAGGAAGTTCTCACCTAGGCCTGTCCCTCTCTGCCCATAAGTCACCCCCTACCCAAAGAGTTCCCATGGACACTCACAGGCAGCAGGAGCATGCGCCACACCAGCACATTGCCAGCATCGCTAGACAGGTCCCGCAGGTATGGTGGAAGCTGCTTCAAAAGATCCTCCAACTCCTGTAGGGGTCACATCAGGGACAGTGGGCCAAGTGTTCATAACCTCAGCCCCCTACCTGTAGCCCCACAGGAAGCCCAAACAGGATATCCCAAGAGCAGAAAGCAAAATGTCAGAGCCTATTGTGGATTATTTGTTTACACTGTGTGAAGATGTGTCACCATGATTGGTTTAATAAAGAGCTGACTGGCCAATAGCTAGCCAGGAGAGACTAGGTGGGACTTATGGACAGAGAGAGGAACTCGGGATGAATCTAGGCATACAAGAGATACCAAGGAGACACTGAAGAAGTTGGACACATATACGATACAGAGAAGTGGTAACTGAGCCACATGGTAGAACATAGATTAATAAAAGCATGGTTAATTTAAGTTATAAGAGATAGTTGGGGACAAGCCTAAGCTAGGGCCAAGCTTCCATAATCAACAATAAGTCTCCATGCAGTTATTTGTGACCTGGTGATCCAAAGGCAAGTCGGGGGACTACTAGAGCCCCCACTTAGGGAGCTGGTGTGAGACAGTGCTGAGTGATAAATGAATTACCTGATTTTGGCCTCACCCCAGCTCTGTAAGCCCCAGTGTAAGAATCACTTCCTGATCACTTCCTCAAATATGGAGAACTTGAGAGTAAGTTCTCCTAGGAGCCTTTCTTTCTGAAAGCAAGGTACTTAACTCTTCCCTCTTGCCCCCTTTCTGGAAAGCCACTGGGTGCAATTTCCTCTCTCTGTCTTCAGCAATATCTGCTGAGTTTCCAGCACAATATGCACTGTCCCTTCCCTCCCCCACATCACTCTGCCCTGGGGGTAAAGGACTGATTCAGGCTGCCCCTCGTGAGGAACCCTGCACACCACATTTGATAACAGGGATGAGGAGTAACTTGGCTTCTCAGAAATGTGGCCCAGTCACTTGGGCATCCCTGCATCCACCCAAGAGCAGTTCACTGAGCATCCTCTGCTGACCCTTGACTAAGACAGGGTGCAGCCCTCAAGAGCATCTTTGCAGTAATGGAGGAAAGTCGAATTTGACGATGTGAGTAGTGTGCATGGGCAAACAATCAGGAAGGAGGGAAGAAGGAATGCTTCACAGAGGTTGCATGCTGTGAGATGGGCTGGAGAGTAGATAGGAGCCCACCAGGCAGAAAAGCAGATCACCAAGGCTGAGGGCCCAGACAGGACAAGTGTGTGCAGGGGCCCCAGGGAATGTGAATAGTTATTACAGGAGAAGGGCTTCATGGCTGAGTACATTTGGGAAAGTTGAGCTAAAACAGCTTCGTCACTGAAGAGCAACCCAAAGGTTGTGGATTTAGCTTGGTTATTGCAGTACTGGGGATGAAACTAAGTGCCTTGAGCATGCTAGGTGGCTCCCTACCACTGAACCACATCCCCAGCAGGCTGAGAGTCCCCAGGTACCAAAGTGCATCTGACCAAGGGACCTCACCCATGGGACTCCAGATCTTCTGGAAGAGACGTTGAAAAGCATTCACACATTCAAGGCAGTGCAGTCCTCTGGGAGAATGAACAGATACAAACTAGTGGTTCTTGAGAATCCAGGGATACCTTTACCCACTAGAGCACATTTGCCAATATCTAGAAACATTTTCCATTGTCATAAATGGGGTGGGTACTACGACAGTTCAGCAGGTAAGGTTCACAGATGCTGATGAAACATCCTACAAAGAATTATCTGGTCTCAAGGGTCAACAGAGACAAAAGTTGAGAAATGCTTGTGTAAACACAGGGCCCTTCCCTGCTGTAAACTTTCGGTACTCCCTCTCCCAAATTCATAAACTTCCCACACTTCCTTCTATCTCTCAGCTTCTCTTCCACATCTAGTCACACCAGCAGATTGCTTCCTGTGCCCTCTACTTAGAGCCATGACCATTCATTTGCCTATTCTACCTAGCAACAAGGTAGAATTGCTTGGACAAGAATAAAGGCTTAGGTAGAACACAGATCTTGAGCGGACATGTTCTGGGCTGGAGATGCAGCTCAATTGGTAGTGTTTGCTTGGCATTCATGGAGCCCTGGGTTCAAGTCCCAGCACTGCATAAAACTTGATAAAGTGGTGCTCATCTCCGATCCCAGGACTTAAGAGATGGAGGCAGAAGAATCAAGAAACCAGAGGTTGGTCTGGTGAGATAGCTCAGCAGTTAGGTGCACTTGTTTTCCTAACTCTGGATTCAATTCCTAGCACCCACATAGTGGCTAACAACTATCTCTGAAACAATCAGTTACAAGGGATCTTGCCTCTGGTAGCACCAGGCATGCAGGTGGTTCACAGATAATACATGCAGGCAGAATACCCACATACATAAAATAAAAATAATAATTAAAAAAATTAAAGGTCATTGTCAGCTACATATCAAGTTTGAGGCCAACCCGGACATAAAACCCTATCTCAAAAACAAAAACAAACAAAAAATCGAAGGGGAATTTTCTCTTTTACCACTGGGAATACTCGGATTTTTTGTGCTTTGGTGAATTCTGTCATGACTTTCCCATAATTGCTGAAATCCAAGCTAGGACACACAGCTCCTCCCAAAGTCTGCTAGTAAGTCACCTGATTTAGAGGAAATGAAAGTGAAGACACAAAGGCGGTTAAAAGCCCTGTGAGTTAGAGCCTCGTCAGTCTAGGCTCCAATTCCAGACCCATCACTCCTGCTGAATATCTGAATAGCACTGGTCACTCATGCTACTCTCTCTGATATCTCGGTGTCCTCCTCTGTAAAATGGGAAGTCATAATTATCTCACAGAGTTGCTATAAAATTAGATTTAAAAAATGGCCTGGCACTCAGGATTCTGGAGCAATACAAGCAAGTTCATCTCTTAGTGTTGAGGTAGCAAGGACCCTCTGCCCCATTGTGCTCCAGCCTCCAAATTTTAGTTCTGGGATGGGCCTGCTCTGGCCTTCTCCACCTTAAAGAATTTTCCTTTATGGAGCTGAGGACAGCAAACATCCCTTCTCACCGCAAGAAACAGTTTTTCCCTAAATTCTGCAGACTAGAGGGGACCTTTGGGGAGATCCAAAGCTTGGGGGTGCCAGCTCCCGCTCACCGGCGTTTCTCCTCTACGGTCTCCAATCGTGGCTCCAGCCCTCTAGACATTCCTAAGGAAACTGCCACCTTTCCATTTTTCCAGGTAGTATTCAAACAGTGAGTGTCCCAGATAGAAATGAACACTCAAAGGTGATAAGATTTTTGTTCCTAGCCGGGTGATGATGGCACACACCTTTAATCCCAGCACTCGAGAGGCAGAGGCAGGCGGATCTCTGTGAGTTCGAGACCAGCCTGGTCTACAGGAGCTAGTTCCAGGACAACCTCCAAACCACAGAGAAACCCTGTGTCGACAAACAAACAAAAGCAAACAAACAAAAAAGATTTTTGTTCCTTTTCTTCTCCCTGCCGCCTGGCACTGGACTAGTAGAAAACAGGCATTTAGCATCTGTAGCGGACTGCATAAAAACCTACTCAGGGCATATTGATATTTTTTATTCAGGAACTATTCTGTATACTTTCATTCCAGGGACCGCCCATCCCCACCCCACTGCCCATCCACATCTCTAGCTTCTGAGGGCTCGGTTAAGAAAGTATCAAATTATGGGTCCACCCAGTAGGTGGCGCAACAGAACTCTGCCGGTGCCTGAGATACGCCCCACTAATAAACTTTCAGCGGAATTGAAACTGAAAACAGTTTGGGGAAGCTAATTCATTCTCATACTCACCCCACATACACACCCCCTAATACAACTCGGAAAGCTGGTGACAACTCTGTCTTGTATGTCCCCCATCCTGGCCCACAAACTCCAGCCCTACACACACACACACACACACTCTCATACACACACGGAGGGAGGTAGAGGCAGAGGGAGGGAGGGAGGGAGGGAGAGGGAGAGGGAGAGAGAGAGAGAGAGAGAGAGAGAGAGAGAGAGAGAGAGAGACTCCGCCCACTCCTTCAGTGGGAGAGTGGGAGAGGGTGAGGATGCCTGGGTTTCAGCCCACCCTAGTACCCCTGATAAACAAAAGCACTCAAAGGTCAGCCGGGGAAAACCGAGGGAGTAGAGCTTGGGGTCGGGGATCACTAGAAAGGCGCTTACCTTCGCTACCCGTTTGCTGGCTGTCATCTTGGGTGGGAGTGTGGGGCAGCAGCAGACTCCCTCAGGTCACCGCTCTCGGAACCACAGCTCCGGAGCCCCACCCACATCTGCTCCACCCACAGGGACTCTAAGACGTGCTCCCCATCCCAACGGTGGATACCTGAAGGGCGCGGTCAAGTGCCCAGATCGGTGGTCTTGAATCCCAGAAACTCAGCTCTTTGTAGATAGGAGACTAAGTCCGCGGAGCACACTGCTCCCCTTGAGGGACATCACGCAGGAGCCTTGATGGAGTACATCCCCAGCCTTCATTAGCTTCCTCCATGCGGAGAACACACTCGCCAGAGATACTACCTTTGCAAACTTAGTTCTACTGCAGGTCTCTCTGACCTCCGGGCTAAGCCTTACCTCCAGAAAGATTCTCAGAGCTCTGGGCCAGGTCACTTTGCCTTTGTGGGCCCAGTGCCTCATCCAAAAAACGAGTGGGGGACAGTGTAAACTGTATGCCCTCCAAGTATCGCTCCCTTAGTTGAGTGGGATCCTAGGTGCAGTGCAGCAATTGGGCCGAGATGCTACGATAGATGCTTCTTTTAGGTTGCTTGGCGCTGAGCATCACATGTGGATGCTGTTGGACCCATTCTCTTTTAGTTTTGGATGCTCTGTCAACCTAGAACACCTAGAAAGTGCCTACTGTAAGGCGATTTGGGAAACCGATGGGTAGGAGAAGCCTTAAGATAGAGTTCAGGAGCCTATTGTATTTTATTGCTAGCCGATTACAAACTATGGACCTACGGAGTGTCCTTATGAACAGTCAAAAGAGTCTCCACCCCTCTATGCAGGGGCAGAGATGCCTTTCCCTAGCCCAAGTTGAGACCACCATGTAATTAATAGCAGCCGCCCCCGCCACCAATATTGAACAGCATCTAGGAGAAATTCTGCTGCTGTGATGAAACTAGGGAGGAGTCCACCTTCCCCACCTAATCCCTTGCAGTCCAGAAATTAGTATATTTTGAACCCCAAGTTTTGACCCAGTATGCCGCATGATTTTTTTTTCTCTGTCAGGGATCCATATGTCTGCTTTGCTTCGTTTGCCAATTCTGTTTATTCAACTCAATAACTTTAACCAGATACCCCCTAAGTGATGGCAATGAACAGTACACCATCAGCAATTCCCTAAATATAGGTAGGGGATGAGGGAGCAGGGCACTTGAACCCATTTCTAGTTAGTCTTAAACAAGCACTTAATACCGAGTGTCAAGCACCATTTTAGGGAACACACCAGGCTGAGAAAGTGTGGTGTCTGTCGTCAGAGAAACTCTCAGGAAATTGAAACACAGAGAATTCAGCCTCTGAATTTTTTGTATGTTTGTAGTTTTTTGAGATAGGATCTCACTGTGTAGTCCTGACTGGCCTGGAACTTGCTGTGGACCAGGCTGGCCTAAAACTCAAGAGATCTGCCCACCTCTGCCTCCTGAGTGCTGGGATTAAAAGCCTACACCACCATGCCTGGCTTAGTCTCTGAATTTTTTATGATAATAACATAAAGAATTACTCAGTCCTCTGAGGGTAGGAGGAGAGTCACTTGGTCTCCTTGTGGAAGGGACAGGGGCTTTCTGGATGACAGAATCTAAGTGAGGGAGAATAGACAGTTAACTCCAGGAAGAACACAGAAGGAAGATGTTGTGTTAACAGGGAAGGAACAGTATTTGCAAAGTGACAGGTTGTGAGGAACCTGAATGGGTCAATAGTGTGGAGCACAGTAGTCTAGTGGTCCCTCCTTCCTTTATAGCCTTGCCTGTTGAAGTGAATTCTGGCATTCTAGGAAGTGTCCAGAACCAGAATATGAGAGCTTACACACACAGACACTAGTAAATAAATAGTTCATTTATTTTAATTGGAACACAATAATTGTACATACTGATGGGTATAATGTGGCAATCCAACACATGTATGCAATGGTCAAATCACAGTAATTAGTATTTGCATGGCAAACATTCACATTTCGTTGTGTTGGGATCTATGAACTCTTCTAGTTCTTTATGAAATATATAATGAATCATTGTTAAAGAAATCTGCCCTACTGAGCATAAGAACCCAGGGCTATTGGGAGCCTGGAGAGATGGTTCAGCAATTAAGTGCATTTGTTGCTCTCCCAGTAACCTGGGTCCAGTTCCTACTATCCACATGGTGGCTTACAAACCATCCATACTTTCAGATCAGACATCCTCTTCTAACCTTTGTGGGCACTGGGCATACATATGATGTACAAATATGCAGGCAAAACAACCATACATAGAGAATAAAAAAGTCTTTTTAAATGTAAAAAAAGAAAGGATTCAGAGGTGGAGAGATGTCTCAGCAAGCAACATTGATGGCTGCTAAAAGGAGAGAACTGAATCCTTTGGCTTGTTTTCTCACCTCCACATGAACAACCACAGTATATTCACACACACACACACACACACACACACACACACACACACACACACACAATGAAAAGGAACACTAGAATTCATTCCTTTTATCTAACCATATTTGGTATCCATTACCCAGCTCCCTCCGTCCTTCTTCTCTGCTACTCTTCCTCATTTCCTAGCAATATCTATTTTCTGCTTCCATGAGAATGTTTTAAAGCTTCCACATAGGGAAAGAGCTGTCTGTGGTAGCACACACCTTATGACTTAGGAGGTGAAGACAGGAGAATCAGGAGTTCAATGTCAGTTTGGGCTATGCTGGGGAGTTGGCAGCTGGCCTGGGTCACATGAGACACTATCTCAAACAAACAAACAGGTCAGAAAACCCACAATATGTAGTATTTATCTTTCTGTTTCTGAATAATTTCTTTTTTTTCCAAATATTTTTTTGTTTTCAATACTTATTTATTATGTATACAGTGTTCTATCTGCATACATGCTTGCATACTAGAAGAAGGCATCAGATCTCATTATAGATGGTTGTGAACCACCATGTGGTTGCTGGGAATTGAACTCAGGACCTCTGGAAGAACAGGCAGTGCTCTTAACCTCTGAACCATCTCTCCAGCCCCAACATTTAAATTTTTAAGCTCCATTGTATTTTATGTGCATGAGTGTTTTTCGTGATTGTGTGTATGGGCACCACATATATGCCTGGTGCTGGAGGAGGTCATTAGAGGGCCTTGGATCACCTAGAATGGTTGTGAGGCTCCTAGGTCGTCTGCAAGGGCAATGCATGCTCTTAATTGCTGAGCCATCTCTCCAGCTCCTAAATATGCACTTTCAAAGAAAATTATTTTTAAAAGAGGGAAATAAAAAATAGGAAATAGGCATAAATGATTGAGAACAGATGATTTAAAGCTGTGACATTATGCACTATCTAATTAGTTCCCCAAAGCTCTTTTAGTATTTGTTACACGCAAATCATAGTAATTTTCTTGAATGCAAACGTTTTAGCCCAGGGCCTGATATACTTACAACAAACCTAGACTACAGCAATGTAAAACTCAACATGTCGCCAGGCAGTGGTGCTTTTATTCCGGAACTCAGGAGGCATTGGCAGGTGGATCTCTCTGAGTTCAAGGCCAGCCTGGCCTACAGAGTGAATTCCAGGACAGCTAGGACTACACAGAGAAACCCTGTCTCAGAAAAATAAATAAGTAAAAGAAGGAAATCAGCATTGTCATTGTTAGTTTCTTCACCATTCAATCCTGTGACTTCCAGTGCAGGTGAATCCCCCAAAGGGATGCCAAACATTTTTAATGGGTTTATGTAACAAAACAAAACAAAGCTGGGGTAGGAGTTCAATAAATAAGTAAAGAGCTTATCTAGTAGGAACAAGGCTCCAGAATGCACGGACACAGATTTTAAAAGCATTTTCTGCTTTTGGTTTGCTTAAGGTTGGTGTGTGATGTTTATTATTTTTAAAAAACCTCCAAGTATTTTTAAATAATAAAGATTTGCTTTGGTTACTGGGTTTCGAAGTAGGTTTGTTTTTGCATTTTCTGGGACTGTAGAGATACCTGAATGGTTAAGATCACAACCACCTGTAACTCCAGCTCCAGGGCCTCCAATGACCTCTTCCAGCCTCTGCAAACACTGTACTCACATGTTTAAATACACATAATTAAAAGTAAAATAAATCTTTTATTTAAAAAAGCCTTTTGTGTTTTCAAGTTCTTTGGTTTCTCTTTGATTTCTCAAAGACAAATGATCAGTTTAATGCTCATCAGTCTTTTTTTTATTATTTTTGTTTGTTTTTTGAGACAGGGTTTCACTGTTGAACTGTTTAACATCCTTGGCTGTCCTGGAACTCGCTCTGTAGACCAGGGTGGCCTCAAACTCACAGAGATCTGCCTGCCTCTGCCTCCCAAGGTCTGGGACTAATGTCTTGCACACCACCACCACCACCACCACCACCACCACCCAACAATCTTTAGAATCTCATGCTTGCTAATTTCCTCTGTTTCCTTCCGAGTCAGGGTCTCCTGTAACCCAAGATGGTCTCTAACTTGATATTTAGTTAAGGCCTTGAACTCATGATCCTTCTGCCTCAGCCTCCTGTTTGTTGAGATCTCAGGCATATATCACCATGCTATTATGCTGCTTCTAATTCCCATTTTTAACAAGGAGGGCAGAAAGAGACTTCACTGAATATTTAGCAGGGACATTTTAGTAACACCATTTTGTATTCTTTTTTTAAGATTTTATTTATTTATTTATTTATTTATTTATTTATTATGTATACAATTATCTGCATGCATGCTTGAACACCAGAAGAGGGCACCATATCTCATTACAGATGGTTGTGAGCCACCATATGATTGCTGGGAATTGAACTCAGGCCCTCTGGAAGAGCAGTCAGTGCTCTTAACCTCTGAGCCATCTCTCCATCCCCCATTTTGTATTCTTTATGTTGACTTTAGCAACATTCCCTTTAGGATTGTATTCTGATTTTCAAGGCTGTTTTGTATTGTTTCCCTTCCTCCATTAAAAAAAAATCTAAATTGGCTAGGTGGTTTTGGTCCTCACTTTTAATCCTAGCACTCAGGAGACAGAGGCAGACAAATTCTGAGTTCAATGCCATCCTGGTCTACAGAGTGAATTCTAGCATAGCCAGG